CTGACCCCGGGAAGCCCACAGGCTAGGGAAGGAGTCGGATCCCTGCACTGGGCACCCGAGTTGACGTATTACTCCAGTAGTGTGGGAGAACCTCTAGGGAGCAAGGCCACAGGATGCCTACTGCCTCTGAGGCCCCATGGAGGGAGGCGGAGCTGGCAGCTGACTTCCAGGGACCCTCGGGGAGTCCGGAGAGCCTGACACCGATGTGCTGGGGGTCTCGGGAAATCTCACCCATCTGTTTGCCTCCTGTGAAGCTGGCGCCGTCATGACCCCCATTTTATAGGTAAAAACCTGGAAGACACGTGGCCCCGGCACCCACGGGGAAGGGTCAGACCCTAGGTGAGTCTTACCTGAGTCTTGTCACCAGTGTCCCGTCAGTTGCCACACCACTCCCCATACTGCAAGTGTGCCCTGGTCTGGCCTGCGCTGTGACCGGGCGTGACCAAGCAGAGGGAAAGGTATTTTTGATGAACAATATTTATGGGAAGATGTCATTTTCTGGAGAGTGTTTCTGGGTGTAAGAAATGCCATTTGGAAAGCCGGTGTGCGTGTCAGTAATTTTTTTCCCCCTCATTCTGAGAAAAAGCCTGTAGCGTGTGGTGGGGGCAGGGTCTGCAGCTGGCAGGAGCTCTGGCATATGTTGTAACTAAAAAGAGAGGGAATGTGTTGGTGGGACAAGCTACCGGGAGCTGTCTCGGTGAGCTGCGGCCCTGGTGAGTGTTTTAATTGGGGAGGATTTTGGAGGACTATTTTGACATCTGCTCGTGTCTCTGCTGATTTTTCTTCACTTACAGTAGGAAACACAAGCTGTGGATAAAATGACTTTAAAATAATTGGAAGTAAAGATATCTCCTCTCAAAGTCGAATTTGAGAGGGACACTTTTGAAGAAGTGGAAACTGAATTCCACTTCGAGGAATCCATCCTGAAGCGGGAAGCTTTGTACCTACGGCCCTCGTGACAACATCACATACGGGCACTTCTTACAGACTAGAAGTGCCAGCCAACCGGAGGGGCTCGCTTCGGCTCGTCTCCAAGTGGTGCGGTGCTCCGTAGCGATTAATGGCCATCTCCACAGCGGCGCTAACGAAGAGTGGCGTTGCTTAGGTCACGATCAGCAAAAAAAAACAAAAGAAGCCTTAGAGATCTTAGAACTATGTTCTAAAAAGTGGAGAGAGAGGAGGGTGGAAGGAATTACGCAAAAACATTGTCTCCCAAAGCAGCTGTTGGGATAACTGTAATCCTGTCCTTTGAACGTGTCTGTCTTCCCGTGTTTCTGGAGTAGGCGTATCTAATTCTTAAGATGCAGAAGAAAAGTGTGATCTCTGTGTCAGAGAAAGCTGGCCGCAGGCGCGTCGGTGTAACCGGCTTCCCTGAGTGGATCCTCTGTCTGCAGAGGAGCAGATCGGGCACATCTTCAGAAAGAGCTGAGCCCGGAGCCAGCTGCTGCGTGGCTTTGAGCGGTTGGTTTGACCTCTCTGAGCCTTACTTCCTCACCTCGCCATGGAGGTGCCAGTGTTCTCCTCATGGCCTGGTTAGGATTAAAAGAGCCGGCACCCAGTGATGGCCCAGCTTGCTTCTCCACCAGAACTGCCCCTGCGCCAACGTGTGAGTGTTTCTCTCCTGTCTTTCTTCCCCCTGGTTGCCTGGAGCCTTTAGGGGACAGGGCCGTCCGGCTGAGCTGGCCTCCGATTCTTTCCTTGGGAACACTGAGCTTTGGGAAGGACTTGAGTCCGTGCCAGCCTCTTTGGAAGAGCTCTTGTGGCCAGGAGGGCAGCATTGCCCTGTGTAAGAGGAAGCTGTGCCGGCCCAGCTCCTGCCTGCAGCTTGGTGCTTGGGCCGTTTTGGTTACTAAGGGGACCCTGGCCCACTAAGTCAGGAAAATGGGCCAGGATTTTTTTTTTTTTTTTTTTTTTTTGCCCTGTTCTTCAGCCTGCTGCCATTGTTGAAAAAGTAAACACTCCACACAGCTTAACAGGCAAGTCCTCCAGCCAGGAGTGGGAAGAAATCAAAAGCCGGGGGCAGTGAGGAGAGCCACAAGGGCTGGTCTGTGCCACCGGGGCCCTGCTGGGAGCGTGGAAACAGCGCCTGCTTCTGCTGCAGAATTAGCAGCTGCTCACCAGGGCCTCAGCCCCGAGGCTTCTCTCCAGTGGCCACTGCCCCTTCCCTTTCCTCGAGGCCGGCGGGTGACTCTAGGGTGCGGCCGCCCTCAGCTCGGCCCTGAGGGCCCGACATCCCCAGCTGCGTCTCTGCTTCTGTTTCTTTGGCTGCGTGTGTCTTAGCCTTTGCCCACACCATCACCAGGAAGGGGCAGATTCTGTCCTTGAGCCACCGTCCTGCTCGGCTGTGGCGGGTGTGTGCGTCACAAAGTGATCGTGACAGCCACTGTTGATGATGAGGTCCTACTGTGTGCCCAGAGCCGTGCACACCTGTAGCACCTGTAATCCTCACAGCAGCTGAGCGGGACGTGGGGGAAGGAGGCGTCACCTCCATTTCAGACTGACGGGTGAGGTCAATCAGTAGACACACGCCCTTGGGCGGGCTTCTTGGCTCCTCAGAACCTCAGTTTCTCATCTCTGGGGTGAGAATGATGATGCCCCACCTCCAGCTCTGCTGAAGGAAACGAGAGAATGTGTGTGGCTGTGCTGCATGAGCTATGCAGTGTGACATCAGGGACAGAGAGCACATGCTGCTGGCTAACCTGTTGGGCTGGGGGCGGGACAGCTGAGGAGTCCTGGACAGTCCTCCGTGAGTCTCAACGTTCACCCCTGTAAAACGGGGACTGTGCTCTGTTCATCAGACAGAAGTGCTGTGAAACCTGATGCTTTGCGTTCTTACCAGCTGCGGCACCATTGGCCGATTGCTCTTCTGTCCATAAGGGAGGCAGCGGCTGCGGTGAGCTGGGGGTGTGGTGGGGAGAGCGAACTCCGAAGCTGGCGATCCTGCCCCTCCTCTGTGGTTCCCAGCTCATGGTGCGTGCGGTAGCCTGTCACACACTGAATGACAGCTTGGAGAGCAGCCCCCGGGGGCCTGGGCAGGCCAGCCCGTGGCAGAGGCCGTTGGAAGCACCACTCCTGTTAAGTGGAGGGGTTCCAGGGCTCTGCCGCTGGCAGTGTTTTCTCAACACCTGGAGGCTCCTGACCAGTGTGGCTACACCCTCTGCTGGAGTCTCTGCATGTGAACTTGGGCACCAAGTTCTGATTGTGAGTCTGCTTGAAAGAGCCAAACCAGTGTTTGTGAGCCTTTACTAAGTGCTGGTGGTTGTGCAGTGTGAGCCCGGCATTGGGCCCAGCAAGGCGAGACAGGCGGGCCGAGGGACACCGGGGCTCAGGACAAGGATGGGATGGAGGCTGTCTCCCTGAGGGTGTCTGTTGACGAGGAGGCAGATGGTGCTGTGCAGAGAGCGTGGGCCGTGGAGGCGGCCAGTGCTGCGTTACCTCTACCATTCACTTCACCTCTCTGAGCCTCGTTTTTCTCCAGTTATGTCGAACAATGGTGTTACTGTCCAGGTTGCATGGTTTGATAAGAATTAAATGAGATAAATTAAGCAAAGTGTGGATCAAGAATTAATAAGCTTCTCACGCGCTGTCGTTGCCACCCTTTCCCAGGTCCATCAGCACACCCAGGCTTCTGCAGCCAGTGGAAGTCTAGTTCCGTCACTAGCTTGCACAGCATGCTCTTGGTGAATTAGGAAAAGCATCACCCCACGCCCACCTCAATCGAAGCCACTTGCAGGCACGCGGGTGGGCAGGTTTCAGCCCCAGCCTGGCAGGCCAGGCAACCTTGGGCAGTGCTCCCCTGCATGGTGATATGCAGTGTGCACAGTGGGGCGACTTAACGTGAAATTGATTCCTTACGTACTCGGTGCCATATGTCTTGTTTTATGCCTGTTGCCCTGGTGTAATAAGCCCCTTTTCACACCCACACATGTCCCAATTTGGACAACAAATTATAAGGACTTTCTACTTAAGCAGAGCAAATTTAAATAAAGATGACAACTCTAAGTTTAATACTCAAAAGGAAAGAGCTTGTTGTGACGGGGCAGAAGGACTTAATAGGTGGGCAGGAAAAAAATGAGGATGGATTCCAGCAGTGCATAAGCGATGTGATTAACAATTAGGGGTGGGTGCTTGACGTAGTGACGGCTCACCACCACCCCCCCACCCCCCCAGCTGCTGCAGACATTTGGGGAGCAAACCAGGAGATGGGAGCTCTCTGTCTCTCTGCCTCTTGAACCAATTAAAAAAAAAAAAAAAAAAAGGAAAACACTAACTCAGTCTACATACTGTCCTGTAACAACACAAGCTCTGCACAGTTGCTGCCAGACGGGGGGGAAGGGACCCTTTCATTCTCGTAGCATCCCTTCTTTCCTTCCTCCCCCTGCCACACCTGAATCCCTGTGAGGCATGACCCCCGCTTGTCCTTTGCATTACTGCACCTGTGGAAGAATGGCCGTGGCCGGAGCCTCGGAGCCACTGCTTGCTGAGACTTACTGAAAATAAAACCACATGCAAAGCATGACCTCCTCCTTGGAGTTTCCGGGAGATGTGACCATGTTCACACTCGGCCAGACCCCTGTATCCCGTGCTCAAGAGTGACATGATCCCCAGAGAGATGGGCCGGGAGCCTTTGGTAAATGAGAGGTGTGGCCCCGAGAGCCCCACTGTGCATCAGAGTTCCTGGGGCCAGAGCTTTAACCCTCTGCCTGTGTTATTAATTTTAATTGGAAAACTCAAGGGGGAAAATGGGGCATAAAGAGCTCTCTTCCCTTGCGGCTGTGTGAGCTGGGTGTGCTGCTTAGGCTCTGTGAAACCTGGGATCAAGGGTTTTATGGGAATTAAATGAGCTAGGAAATGTGAACCCCCCACCCCCACCCTGCACCAGGCCTGCCACAGAGGGAGACTTGGTCAAATGCCCCTCTTCCCAGAGGAGGCCAGGGGAAAAGTCTGTGTGCTGATGGCGTGCCCGTGACCTCCTGTTCTGGATTTCTTTTGCCTCACAGAAAGTCAGAAACATGGCCCTGGACGACGTCGTGATCCTGAATGTGGACACCAACACCTTGGAAACCCCCTTCGACGACCTCCAGAGCCTCCCAAACGATGTGGTGGGTGATGGTCTCTCAGGGTCCTGCTGGCTGGGAGCCGGTGCGGTGGACATGGAGCTGCCAGGGAGGGGTGGCGGGCAGGTGGGGGAAACGGGAGGGTCTCCGGGGGCCCAAGAACTGCTGTTTGTTCAGCCGTTCCCTCTGGAGCCCTTGTCTGTGCGGAAAGTGGGGAGGTGCTTTCTTCTCTGAGTCTCTTAGAAGAGCTGTGCTCTTCTAACCTTCCGCTGAAAGCCCGAGACTCAAAGCCAGCTCAAGGCAGCCCCTCTTCCTGTAGGAGCTCGGGAGGGGCCTGCCGCCCCTCCCCTACCCCACCCACAACCTTGTCCCCAAAGAACGGGACGGCTTCCCCTGAGTAACACCCGAGAAGTGGTGGCACAATGCTGGGTGTGAGCAGGTCGGGGCGCTGCACGCTCTAGGCCGTCACGGAACACAGCATGCACCCACGTAGCTGGAAAGGGGCTGCAGAGCTATGACTGGGGCTGCATGTTCCCCAGAGCTCTGCTCGGTGCCTCAGGCCTAGGCAGGATGAGAGTTCTGCTGGACAGAAGAGAGGAACTGGCTGCCGCCTCGGCCACACTAACGTGACCACGCCGGCCTCTGGCTGCTGCTCGAGCTGCCTGACAGGCCGCTGCCGATGCAGACCTGCTCCCCCTCATCGCCGACGTGGGTGATGACGGGACCTCACAGATGAGGACAGTCTGGATGTTTCTGGGCTACCCTCCTCGGCTTTGCCTTCCAGAAGATCCACGAAGGTCTTCTGACTTCCAGCTTGAAAGGAGCTGATGTTCTGCTTGTGCAGTGCTGGTACAAGGCGGGGGCTTGTGGCTGGTGGAGCCTGGGCAGGGGGCAGGGGTGGGTGTGTGTTTGAGCCGGTGGGCACTGGTGCTCCGTCTCTGGCAGGAGCCCCTGCACTGTGTGTCCAGCTAGCAGAAGAGATCACCATTTATTGGCAAAGCATTCACAACAAGGTCTCAGTCCACTCTATTCTTAACTCACTGTGAGATTTTGGGGGCATCAGGGGGTGCTCTAGAGATGTCTCCTTTGTAGCGTCATTAAACAGTAGCTAACATTTGCTCTCTCACTGCACCCTTGGTGCCAGGCCAGGCCCTGGTCACTGACTTTTCCTTAGTCTTCACACCACTCTGAGGACCTCCCACTTTATACACAGAGCTGCAGGCCAGTGGGGCCAACACCTGGACCTGACTGTGGGAGCACAGAGCCCCCGGTCCTGCCATCCCTCCAGGTGCCGCTGCATCCGCATCTCGTGTGATGAGCATCCGCACTCGGTGGAGGGAGCCTTCCCAGCTCGCTACAGGAAGGAGGGGGCTCACCAAGCATGCACCCTGCCGCAGATCCCACGGCCAGTGGGGCGCACCCTGATCCGAACCCTTTTAGATGACACCAGAGCTTGAGCTGCCTTTGCTCAGCACAGAGGAGTGCGAGATGGCAGATAGAGGGAGTCGTGCCTCCCGTCGGACACATGAGCTCCTTTGATCCGAGGAACTGGAGGAGCCTGTCCGTTCCCTTCAGCGGGCAGAGCGCCTGCTGAAGCCATGAGTGTTGTGTTAGCGCCCTCTCCCTCACTTCAGCTGAAACCCCTGAGGGGAGCTTCTTGCGGTAAGAAAGGGCTCACTTCAGCGTCCAGTTTGGCGATTACAGTCAGGGTCTGGCAGTCCCCTAATCCGGCATCTGTGGAGGCTGGGCATGGCAGGTGCAGAGGTCTGATCACTTTGGTGAGCCAGGAAAGAGAGAGGGAACGTGGCTCAAAATAACCTTTTCGCAGGAACTACCCTCCTAGGGCACCCCCCTCCCTCCCTCCCCCGTGGCCCTAATGCCTCCCACCAGACCCAGTCTCAGACGCCATAATTAGATCAAACCTCCACCCTTATTCCAGCAGCCATTAACATCATGACAGAGTTTAAACATCTACATGAATTTTGGCAAGACAAGTCCTGCTGTACCCATAACAAGTCTCTTGGGCGTGGACCTTGGAACTGCCAAGTGACTGCAGGACATGAATCCGCAGTACATCAGGGGCAGAAAGGGGCCAAGGGCCCTGGAACTGCACAGAATGAGTGACTGGCGGCTCAGAGCCAGCAGTGGACTCACTGGTCCCGCCTGCACTGCTGGCACCAAGCAGCAAAGAGGAAGCAGGTCTTCAAAGAATGTCTTCCAGTGGAGGACACAGACATGTAAATTACAGTACAGCATAAGAGACCACAGGGAAACAGGACTCCGGCCCAGAAGGGTCCAGGAGAGAGAGTAACAAAATTTGGGGGAGCATAGTGGAGGCTTCCTGAAGACAGCAAATTCTGAGATGCCTTTTAAATGATGAGTGGCGTGGCCTCAGGGAACCGGAGTAACTCAAGCAAGTTATTTTCCCTCTCTCAGCCTTGGTTTCCCACATTAACAGAGAAATACAAGACCTGCTCTTAGGATCATTGTGGCAAATAATACTGTTAATGTTCATCAAATGCTTGGCCGGGTGCCCACCTGTGGTTGGTGTTTAATGAAGGGTACCTGCATTTGTTTTTAATAAAATTGTTGTTGATAATTACAGGCAAGGTTGGGGTAGTTAATACCCTCCATGTCCTGGCCGTCTCAGCCTGCACACATGCGGCCCCTGGTCTGCTAGCCGGTTTGAAGCAGCATTTAGTATGTTCTGTGGCAGTGGGACTCCGGTGTGGGGCTGGAGCCTCATTAAGGATTCCCGGGATAGCAGGGCGGGGGGGACCCCAAACTGTGTGTTGCATGGCTGTGGAGCGCAGATTTGGTTCAGGGGCAACGCAGTGCCAGGTGAGTACTCAGGTTCTCAGGAGCAGACATCACGTCATGCGTCGTGCTCACCTCCGTGACCCTGGTATTGAGACCTGGTACCCCGGGCCGGCCAGCTCGTCCGCGAGGACCTGACTTCCCCTCTCAGCAGAGCTGCTCTTACTCCATCAGGCAGATTCTGTTCCCTGAACATTTTGCAAATTGTTGTCCTTTTGTCCATTCCTCCAAAACATCTCCTCGTCCAAGTTCGTATCTTTTCCTGCACAAACAGCAGCCTCAGAACTGGTTTATCTGACTCCAGTCTCGTCCCTCTAATCCTTCCTCAAGCACCTTTCTAAAAACATAAATGTTCTTGAGCTCCTACCTAAAATTCAGTGAACAAAATTAAAAGAAAAAAAAACTTTTAAAGACAAAAACAACCCTTCCAGGCTTTCCCATTGCCTATAGGCTGAGTCAAGTTCCCCTTGTTGGCTTTGGAATTCAACAGACCTGTGTTTAAATCCTGGCTTCTTCATTTTCTGGCCATGTGGCCTTGGGCAAAATGACTTCAGCTCTCTGACCCTTCATTTCCTCATGGAGTTGTTGTGAGTTAAGTGGAGTATGTAGGATCCCTTTAAATTGTTCTGTGGGTGCAGTAGGCAGGTGTCGCTCCCCGTCTTCGTGGAGGAATGACACAGGACCCTGCGCTGTTCTTTTGTCTGCTCGGCCCTCCCCGGGTTTGCTGCTGGTTCTTCCCAGGTTGGCTACTGTCCCTTCCACCTCCGTGGAAGGGCAGTTCCCCCTGCCACATTCCCCACTTCCGCGGGGGAGCGGCACACCGCCGGCCGGCGCTCTCGGGGGCTGCACAGGTGTTCCTCAGGTGTTCCTCTTAGATGTTCCTGTTAGATGTTGTCTCTCTCCTCCTTTATAGTCCTCTTCCACCAATCCCAACTCTGCTACCCACACACCGAGTACACTGCTCTCCTTCAATCAGGAGCAGGTCCCACAGTTTATTGGTTGAACTGGAGGCAGCTGTGTAGAAGCTGTTTCCCTTCTCAGCGCCATATTGTGGGAAAGCAGATGCATAGAATAAGTCTTAATTCCAGTAACTCAGTCCAGTCCGGGTTGCTCCCCACAGGCAGGGTTTGACAAAGATAAATTATGGATGCCAGTGATATTTAGCATGGCATTCAAAAGCCACTCTTCATGATATGATCCTCCTGGTTTTTGTTTTTGTTTGTTTGTTTATCTTCACATTCTTTAGTTTTTTCTTCTCTCTGCTTCAAACTCTACATTGTAGGTGTTGGGAACGGTTAGTCACTCTCCCAAACTTCTATATTGCTTCATACTTCCAACTGCATACAAGGTTTCTTTTGTCCCAAACGGCCTATCCCATCTCTTAATCTCTTTCTCATTCTTTAAACATTACACTGTAAAAACTTTCCCTGATCTCTCCAAATGGATCTGACCATCCTTCTCTTATGTTCCCACAGCCCCTTTTGAACCTTGTAGAATTGTACTGATTTGTGACCTATGTCTAGGTTCCTTTTTTAATTGTGAGTTCTTTGAGGGCAGGAATCAAATTTTATTTTTTATTTCCCAAGGATATAGAAGCCACCAAAGAGATAGAGGAATGGAAGGCACAACTGGGTTGGGTATTTTTGGTAGTGGAAATCTTACAAAACATGGCATCTGTGTTGATACAGTGTTAAAAGAGGCCTCGTTTCTTGCTACAGTGAAATACATGGACCTGCATTAATCTTTCTGCCATCAGCAAACACAACTCTGAACAACTCTCTTCCCACATTACACAATAGGTAGTTCAGGGCCATGACCCCTGAGTGCAAGGAAGCAGAGGTGAGGCCTACCATCCTCCTAGCCTTTTGCCTCAAGGTATTTTCTAGAAACTGGAGCCAGAAGGGGAATCCCCAGCAAAGCACAGTGGTCCTGCTGGGTTGCAAAGCTAAAGGATGGATTTGGAGGGAGAAGTAGTTTGTCTTCGTGTCAGAGGACCAGATAGAGGGGAGCTACTCAGCAAAGAGCTGCAGATATCTGAATTGCCAGATACGCTGAAGACCATCTCTCTGTAGTCCGCAGAGCTCACCCCAGCGAGGAATTATTCAAGTTCTGACCAGCCACTCAGCATGTTAGAGACCCCAAGAGGCCTTGACTTTTTTTTATATGATAGCAATGAAGTTGAGGAAATTACTCTTTTTTTTTTTTTTTTATTGAGAGAGACAGAGAGA